AAGGAAACCAGTTATATTAAAATAATTATCACAATGAAAAGTTTGCTAACCACAGGTCAGCATCCCTGATTTATAAGGTCCTTGCCTTCTATGATATCACTGTCTGTATATACTCCATGGCTATTAGTAACATGACTGCTACTAATCATTGCTTGTCTGTTTGTTGTGGGGGAGGGGGGTTGAGTGAGGAGTGTCAGACCTATGATTTCATTACTTCAGAGAACTCTACATGAAGAAACTCCCTCTACCAGCATTAAGGCTTGGGGAGGTTGTGGGACCTGTCCAAGGTACCACTCATAGAGAACCATCAGAGGCAGAATTTAAGCCCAGGCCCTCTGCCTCCAGAGCTTCTGCTCTTTCCACTGTGCCACATTGCCTTCATTTGCAAACAAATAGATAGAAACAATAGAAGAATCAACAAACCACAGCAAGACTTCAGAACGAATAGCAGAAGCCATGCCAACAATTTTCTCTAGGATTCCTGTAGGGTTCAGATGATGAAGGGAAAAAGAAGGCTAGTTTCAATGGCTAGTTTTCAATAGTGAAATCAGAACTTAAATCCATTCAAGGTACTTTATTTCATTCATTCATAATAGCTGCTCAGATTCTACTGCCCTATAATATGAAGGACTGGAAAGTCACTTCCAAAATTCAGAACCTCACCTGGTAGGCTGGATTTTTCCAAGAAAATGAAGAAGTGAGACTCAAACAAGTTGTACACTGAGAACAATTTCCCTCCAAAAAAATTCCTCCTCCAATGCCTTGTCCTGACATGGATGCACTCTTTTAAGGCTAGACCACAGAGCCCACATATTGATAGTTCCTACCGAACTTCCTTCAGATCAGGGACTATCTTTCACCTTTATATCCCCAGTGCTTAGCATAGTGCCTGGCATATGGTAGATGTTTAACAAATATTTCTGACTGATAATAAATTGTAACTATCTTTATGGCTTTTCCACCAATTTTGATGGTGTCATGAGAAATGTCATCAAGTTCATTTTGACCACTTGACATTTTACCATAGGCCCAGCAAAGGTACCCTTGTGCAAGGATCATCCTACTAATTACAAAGAGATTTATCTTTGTTTGCTAGTTTCATGATCTTGGGCAATACACTTAAGTTCTTGGGCCTCAGTATAAACATCTACAAATTGAGGGTACCAAATAACCTCTCTTGTTTTCTCTAGCTCCAAATACATAATCCCATGTGCCTGTGATAGCTATAAGCTGATGCTGGGTTTTTTTTTTTTTTGTCGGGGAGGCATGGGGGACAGATTGATTCAAGAAGATGATCTTGTAAGACAGGGCTCCTCAAGTTGGAGCCCACAGACACCTTGGGGTGGTACGTATGTATGTACGTGTATAGGTATATGTACATGTATATATATATATATATGTATATGTATGTGTGTGTGTGTATATATATATATATATATACATGTATATATGCATATACATATACATAGACATTTCATGGACTCTGTGAACTTAAAAGGAAAAAATTACATCTTTATTTTCACTAGCCTTTGGCTTTCTTTGTAAACTTAGGTATTTATTTCATAAATTTAAAAACATTATTCCGACCAGTAGTCCATAGACTTCACCAGACTGCCAAAGTGGTCCATGGAGCAATGAAAGTTAAGAAGCTCTATTTTAAAGCACAGAAGGGTCAAGCTCTGGAATCAAAAAACCTGGGTTCAAATTCTGCCTCTGACACTTACTACCTGTGTGACCTTGAGCACACATGAGCACACACACACACACACACACACACACACACACACACACACACAAATAAACATACCTTGGCTGTGGTTTCTCCCTTTACAAAAAGTGGAGGCAGGGAGATAATGGATTGGACCAGATGGCTTCCAATTTGCCTTCTAACGATAAATCTATGAATCTAAAATCAATATACTCCATGGAATAAATACACAAAATGTCACGATTCTTTTGAAGTAAGGTTGGTGTTAATTTCCTGATTAGAAAAAAATAACATAAAAGCTCCAAAAGTGACCATTTTACATTAATGTAAAGTATTGAACACTAGGAGATTAGTAATCACATTTTGGAGGTTAAGCAGTCATGAAAGTACCAAAAATTTTTTTTAAAGCATTTATATACTTGAAAAAGAAAAGAGTCAGCAAAAAATACTAGAAGAACTTTGAACATTAGCAACTAACAGGCAAAACTAAAACCTGGTGGGATCAGTCTGCCAAAAGACAAATCTCTCTAAGCAAGAATAAATCCATAAAACTGAGCTACCAAGAAAACTTAGGGTGAAAGAAGTACAACTATGCATCAATTGCCATTATGATCCCTGGAGTGAGTGGAGAAACTCTTCAGAGAGGGAATAGTAGAAGCAATGCTACAGACCAGGAACTTATCCCCAGCTTTAGTGATAAAAGAAAAAAAAAGAAATTTTCAAAGAAATTTCACAATAACCATCATGAAGGCTTTAGCTAAAGCAAAATCCTCAGGGGATGTGTTAAGTTATTAAAAGAATACAACATTGCAGATTGTGGTTATAATGAGAAAATGTTGAGGAACTCATCACTGTTGGCAACAATTAATATTAAATAAACACCAGACAAACATGCAGTGCAGTTGAGAACATTCAAGATGCCCTTGCAATTTTTATCCAGGGCAGGAAGGCATATTTTAATGTGGCCAACCCATCCATCATATTCATAATGGTGCAGCAGAAATAACGCTGGTTTTGGAATCACAGGAGCAGGTTGTATGTTCAAATACCCCCTCATATGTCTGTCTGACCTTGGGCAAGTCACTTGTCCATTTGGCCTCAGTTTTCTCATTTATAAAATGAATGGGCTGGACTTGAAGACATCAGAGATCCCTTATACTTCTAAATCCACAGTCCTAAGACAGACTCCCATAGTTTAGAATGGTTAGAATGATAGACTTCCATGGTTAGAAATTAGAATTCAAATTAAGTCATAGAATCTCTGAGTTGGAAGGGAACCCAAATTCCATCTAGACCTGAAGAATTTCCCCTACAACCAACCTGATCAGGGGTAATGCAACCTTTGCTTGAAGACTTCAATTCATTTTGCAGTGATTTTTGTTAATCAGGAAGATGGCAGAAATTAATTGACTGGTTATAGTTTATCTGGTCATTTCCAATGGAAGACTATAGTCATTCTCATGATTATTGGGGCTCCCATGAGCTACCTTCCTTTCTATCATTCCCTTTCTACAGTTGTGGTCACTTTACCTTGTGGTTCAACTACACCTACCTCTTGGGCTTTGGGACCAATTCATTTCTCAGGCAGTGGAAAGGTAAGTACCCCTAGATCATGAGATCTGAAAGATGGAAGTAAATTTAAAGATCATCTAGTCCAAACTAAACTTATAAATATGTGAATTGCGAGTTGGAGAAGGGAAATGTCTTGCCAAGATCACATAGCCAAAAAGTAGCCAAGTCAATGTTCAAATCTAGGCCTTCTGTCTCCAAACCCAGTGTTCTTTCTACTACACTTTAAGCTGAATGTTTTCATTTTCATCCACATCCTTAGTCCCAGTTTGATTCTGTAACAGAATTCCAATGACTCAGTCTATATACAGACTGTTCTCTATAACCAAGTCCATGACTTCTATTTATACCAAAAATTGTACCCCTGGCTTTCCCCCCATATTTGGGTTCTATGATCTTGGCTCCCCCAAACTTTACTCTAATTTTAGGTCCATGGAGTCCTGACATGTTTCCTCAAGTCCTCTTAGAGGCTAAATCATGCCTGAGTCCCATTTTTTATGGTGGTGCCCATTGACGGTACTTTGACTTGTAGCCTTCCCATGTGAACCTTTGCTTGATGATTTCAATCCATTTGCAGTGATCTTTGTTAATCAGGAAGATGACAAGAATTAATGGATTGGTCAGGTTTTATCTGATCATTTCTTATGGAAGAATATAGAACTCTGACCTGTTGCCAGATTCCCCTAAATCAATGTTCCGGGATCCCTTTGGGACAGCTCCTGCTATACACCTTCCAACTGCAGTTGAGATACTCCTAACCCCATCCACCCTACTCACTGGATCGACCCATACAGTAGGTTATAGCCATTGGTAGTTTGGCTTGTTTTTTTCTTCCAACTGGGTCCCAGTGCTGAAATAATGCCAGTGAACAAGAACTATCCCTAATCTACCACAATAAGAGATGATCTTGGGATGACCCCTGGTTTTATCTGGGCACTAAGCCAGGAATCAACAAAATTATAACAGAAGTCTCACCATGCCAAGGGACAGGCGACTATCAAACAAGTACCTGAAGTTAGCTAAGCAGCAGGGCTTGCCAATTCCAGGCCTCAAGAACTTTGAGGCTAAGGATCTTGGGCTCTTCTGTCTCAACCATCAAGCCAATACTGAACAGAACAAGTGCCAAAGAAACTAAAATATCTGCCTACTACTTGGAGTACTCTAGGGGTTTCTGTCTCTAGTATTAGACATTAAGAAAGCTAATCCTAGGCAAAAGTCTTGACAACAAACCATCCTCACACACATGTCGAACATTTCGAAGACAGTTAATATCACAACCACAAAGGGACCCCTCCAAGAACAGGCTGCATTCAATGGATAGTCATCATGTAACACAAATAACTGATAATCATCCCAAGTACATTGATATACATTGTACTCTTGGCTTAACTGGCAATCATGGGGCCAGGTGATAGCAGAACATAGATATTCATCCACCTCCCACAATCCCTCATTGCTTTATCTTTCCTGAATTACCTTTAGTTGTGTTACATTTATCTTAAGCAAGCTTGAATACTAAGGAATATAAAGATATTGGATTATCACAAGACATTGTTTCCATCTGCTTGGCACCTCAGGTAAGCAGAGGTAATCCCATAGGAATCTTCATTTAGAACAACATAAAATCTCAGCTTTGTGACAGCTTCTTCCCATTAATCTTGCACTGGAGATTACATTTCTCACAAGGTTTCACTGAAATGGCTGTGTTAAGTGTTGTGTTTACCTTCACAATATGCAGAGTCTCCTTGGATAGAGATATAACCACTCTTGCATTCACAGGTAGCTTTGGTATTCCAGTTTTTGCACTCAGAATTTTCACCACACTTGGGTCCTTCTGCACAAAAGTTATGGCCTAAAAAAAGAATCACATAAACATCTCATATTAGAACAAAAGAAAGAAAAGACCCTAGATAATGGAAATGAAAGCTTGTACATACACACACATATAAATACACATATACATACACATATGTATATGTATAAGTGTAAAATATCCTATAAGAAGAATCAGAGAATCCTAGTATTACCTTTAGAAAAGTATCAAGTAACAAAATAAACCCACAGAAATCATTAACATTCCTATAAAATACTAGCAAAATAAAAGAAGGAACCATAGAAAGGGGAATTCCACTCAAAGTGTCCAGGCAGCACATAAAATACCCAGGAGTTAATCTATCAAGACATAATCAATATTTAAATACAACTACAAGATGCTCCAAAAGTGAAGAATTTTATCATTATTATTAATATTACTCATAACAAATTATTGGAGGCTTTTTATGGTCAGACTATGCCAACAAAATAAAATGTGATACTAAGTTAATTTACAGATTTAGTACTATACCAAAGTATGAGTCACTTTGAAAAACTAGAAAAATCATAACAAAATTTATCCAGAGGAAAAGGAGGTCTAGAATCCTAAAAGAAATAATAAATGAAGCAAGAATGAAAAGGGTTTTGAATTAAAAGAACTCGAACTCTACTGAATACTATGTTCCAAATGTTTTGTGTGTGTGTGTGTGTGTGTGTGTGATTTAAATATAAAAAGTCATGTTATTTTAAAAATTAGAGAATAATGATAGGAGAGAATTTTCAGAACTTTAGTAATAGTGTAAATTGTTAACCCATCAAAGGATAGAGGAAATAATAATAGATAAAATAGCTATTAGCCTATACAAGCAAAAAAAAATATGTTTCTATCAACAAAATCAATGCAGCTAGAATAAGAAAACTTGGAATGGAAAAAACTTAGTAATAAACATATATCTGACACCATCCTGATATCCAAAATACATAAAGGATTAACAGAAATATATATGTATGTGTGTATGTACATATATATGTACATACACACATATACATAGATATGTGATACCAATAATAATAACTAGTTTTTATGTAGCACTTTAAGGTTTACAAAGCACTTTACATATTACCACATTTAATCCATACAAATACCCTCTGGGGTAGGTGCTGTTGTTATCTCCACTTTAAAGATGAAAAACTAAATCAGGGAGAGGTTAAGTTACTCACTCAGGTTCATGTAACTAGTAAGTGGCTGAGATAGGATTCTAACTAAGATTTTCTTGACTCTAAGTCCAGTATTTTATCCATTATACCACCTAGCTGCCAATTTATATAAGACCAGGAGTTTTGCCTCCAAGAGAAAAATTGATCAAAGGTTATGAATAAATACCTCTAAAAAGAATTGCAAACTGTCAACTTCCATATGAAATATGTTCCAAATCACTAATAATATGATAAATGCAAATTAGAATAACTCTGAGATTTAATTTCACACTATCAAACTGGCAAAGGAGATAAAAGACAAAAATAGTCAATGTTGGAGGGGTTGTCTTGGAAGGGAAAACAGGCATATTAATACATGTTAGTGGAGCCGTGAATTGATCCAACTGCTTTCAAAATTAATTTCAAATAGCGCTAGAAAAGTCACTTAACTTATCATACCCTTTAATTCAACTACGCATATAACTCAAGTAGATCAAAGACAAAAAAGGCTCCCTATTACAACAAAATATTTAAAAAAAAACACTTTTAATGGCTTAAAAAACTATAAAGTATGTGATCATTAACTGGGGAATAATTGAACAAATTGTTGTATATAAATGTGATAAAAAATTATTGCTCTACAAGGACTAGTTCAGAGAAGTATGGGAAAGACTTTACGAACTGATGCAGAGTTAAGGAGACAGAACTATTAAAGTCTTCCACCAATGCTATATCACCAAGCCATGGCCTCGATTTCCAGAGACATTCTCTGAAAAGGGATGAAGTCAGTCCCAAAATGAGAAGGATCATAGAATCATAATGTCATGGCTCACAGTTCTAATAATGCAAATGAAAAAAAGACAGAAAGGCAACCAAAACATGATTAATTATAATGATCAATCCTGGCCCTGGAGAACAGATGAAAAGGGTTTCTTTTCTCTTGGTAGAAATGAGAGGAACTACAGGGACAGAATGCTGAATATGCTGTTATATTCAGTCACCATGTTGGTTGGTTTTGCTTGTTTTATTTTTGTTTTTTGCCACAAAGTCCACTCCTAAGGGGGACAGATGTCAAGAAAGAATTGTTGATGTTAAAACAAAGATCATCAATACAGTTTAAAATAAAATAAAATGCTGTACCCCAAACTAATAAATATTCCAGAATGTAGTGAGACAATTATTTCCCCTGTTCAAATTTGTAATGAAGCAAGCCTAGGTTTCCCCTTGCCATACCTTAAATAGAATAATCTCAATTTCAGGCATTATTTTCAGCATCTTAAAGTTCTACATTTGGGGTTTCCACTTTTACTTAATGACCGAAAGTTTAATGAATCAGACAATAGTGATGGCTTTGGGAAATTATGGCACGCTGTCTGAAAGGGTTTTATAAATAATCTAGATTGTCCTGGGTCCCTAGTCAGATAAGGTTTAAGACAATCAAAATGGCCTGAAGAGAGAATCACCTCTAGGTAAAATCATCATAATCCAAGCTTTAGTCAGGAAAAAGCAAACTATAGGGTGCATCATGTCAGGCCAGAGTTCAATAGAATACAAGATCAAAGGGCAAGGAAATACTTGACAGTAGCCATTCAGAACCAGGGAATCCTCTGGAATTGCAAACACAGACAAAGGCAGTCAGTAGGTAGCAGCAAGATGGTGGTTTGGCTGATACAACGTTCTGGCCCTATGGTGAGAGAATGCTAGTCAAACCGACTTTTTGCCTCCTAGGGCAAGGTTGCCATGAGATGACTACCATCCCTCTTTAAAGAATGCCTTTCTGAACTTGAGGCCAATGTCTTGGTGATTTAGCACTGGTGACAGGCCTTAACCAATTCTGGAGATAAGCATATTAAGTATAGACTCTCATGTTTTTTCCTCAGACTCATTACCCTGCAAGTCTATTGGGTATTGGAGGTGGTGATATGGTCCCCATGAACCTAGAATTAAGTGCAGATTTTGTGCTGACTTGTGATGTAGACAACTGTCCCCAGCCCCCTTTGGTGAGCGATCCATGTCCACCATCACTTACCTTCCAGTATGTTGTAACAGATACAATGCTGGACTCTATCTGGAAGTCAGAAAGACCCACGTTCAAATCCAATCTCAGTTACTTACTGTCTGAGTGACTCTGGGCAAGTCATTTAACTTCTCTGGGCCTCAGTTCCTCATCTAAATGACCTCTAAGCTCCCTTCCTCCTCTAAGTCTATTGTCTTCATCTAATGTGCAGACAAACATATAAATCAACCCTTTGAATAACCGCAGCTCAGCCTCAAATGGATTGGGCATCTCAGACTTATTGCTAGTAGATCAGAATTCACAGGTTCAGCTAAAGTTAAATTTTATGAACTGTAGGAAGGTCTAAATTCTAGTTTACACAATAGTGCATTTGCCTGAAAACTGCAATATCTACCCTGGAACATAGGGGATGATGAAGTAGAGATCATGAAAAATAATGCCCAATAGGTATGGTGTTGGTCAAACATCCAGGTGGTTTCAAGATACTCCATATATTGCTATGGACAAAATGGATAATTTTTGAGTGCCATGCTCACTCCAGATGGTTATTTCCTAACTCAAATGAATCTCTGACTGCAGATAGCTCTTTCTTTTCTTTATTTTTAGTTTATGAAATAAAGAAAGCATTTCCAAAACATTGTTGTTCATCCTTCGTACATAGTATACTAAGAAAAGATAATTGCATATAAAACTGCAAATCTATTACGTACAACTTGCTATTCACTTTCCCTTTTTTCCCCACTCCCTGCCCACCCTGGAGATGGCTACCATTAGACACAAAGACGTATGTATATGTAAAATCATTCTATACATACATCATCATATATACATTTATCAGTTCTTTCTCTGGATACAGATAACATCTTCCTTCATATGTCATTTGTAGCTAATCTGGGTACTTATAATAGTCAAAATAACATTTTCACTCAAAGTAATTCTACCTCATTGTACTGTTTCCATAGTAGCCAAGTTGTGGGAGAATCATTTATAATTTTGGGGCATTGGGAAGAGTGGTGGAAGGACCGAGAGGATGGCCAACACCATTACATTGGATGCTTCGATTAGTCTTCATGATGAACCATTTCTATGAGTGAGAGTAGGATACAAGAGAGATACAGGAAAAACAGTCTGTAAGACCATAGAATATTCCTCCCACCTATGGAATCTACCAAAAAGCCTTGAAGTAAGTGGTTTAATAAATCAACAAATGGTGTTGTCGGAGCAGAAAACTTGGGAGTTAAATGATGGCAGCATCCCACAAGATCTTTCATCATGCAGGCATTCTTTACTACAATGCGAGCTCCACCTTCTGAGGACTTCATGCAAGACAATTATGTGCCACCCCTCCAAAATTCCCACCTACAAAAGCACCTACTCCAAGTTGGAAGGAACCTCAAAAATACGCCAAGGCCTATACCTAAACTTGAATCTCCTGTTCCATTATCTCTTTTGCAACTACTCCTTCTTGAGCTGATGGCTCCCCTGTTTAGAAAACATCAATTACCGGTTTAGGTGTTACAAGATGGCCTGGACTGATTCCATATGCAATGCAGATTTGCAGAAATAGAGGAGGATGTCATTGAGATAGATGGCCACCAAATCACTCCAGCAAGTCTTATACTACAAAGTTCATGAGCCTCAGAAAGGGGGTAGGGACATAGCAGAGAATGAAAGACGTAATAACCCACTATGCTTGCAGCTGCACTGGGTCTAGCAGGCCATCTTCCATTCCTCACCCTCCAGTATTTGGATCAGTTTGAATTAGCCCCTGGGGTCCAATTCAGTGAATAGCATTGGCCCTGCCAGCTGCTCTGGCACAACAAATA